GCACTGAATAGTGAGATGTGGTTATTCGAATGCATCTAGCATGTTCTGCTGCACACATGAAATAGGGACAGGCTGACCGATTCTCGTACCTGAGCAGGGTGCATCCAATCACCCGTCTCAGGGCCTTCAAAAACCCTCTCGTTATTCTTCTTCCGATGAATCTTCCTTGGTTTCCAAACGAACCCCTTCTTCGATGAGAACGTTCGCACCAGCTTCTTCAAAATCTGCGGGCATCGCGTTAGAATCAGGTGTGAGCGCGTGTATTCCATGGAAATGCATACGGCCGACACTACATTACGACATCGCTAGCTGCGTTGGCCTCCCATTACGAACCAGCTCTGTGTCGCGGAAGTGCAGAAGCAGCTTCATTTGCATTCCTTTGGGGCCCCGCACCACTATCTCCTCCGTTTTCCACGGGACCATGTCGGCTGGAGCTCGCGCCATGCCCCAGCGTCGCACGTCCACCCAGTTGCGCCATCGTCTGAGTGACCGTAGGTTGAAGCGCGGGTTGCGGAAAATGTGCAGCAGACGGTTCACTTCCCTGTGCGAAAGATCGGCGTCACGGAAGAATAGGTACAACTCCGTCAGTGTATCGAATATCTCCTTCCTTTCGCTGTCTTCTGAGGACTCGGCAGGTTCGCCGTCAGGTCGTGTATCCGCGTCTCCAACAAGGCTAACTTCGGGGATCGAAGCTGTTGGAGCAGCAGAAACAAAACTGCCATCGTTATTTTTAAGCCGGGATGCCGGTGGTGTGTTAGGTCTACTCTCTCCGTCACATGCAATGGCTTCCAAATATGCCGCCCACAAAAGACTCTCTCGTTTCCTCTTCAACTCCTCGCGACAAATTGCCCCATTAGCGACATGCGACTGTAACCTGCTGTCGTCCTTAAACACCGTCTCGCACACCATGCAACTGTTCCCCGTCATCCTAGAGCCAAGAAACCCTAGCTGGGCCAGTAGTAGGACCACTGCTGAGTACCTCAGGTACACTCTAATACAACTCCGAGGACAAACTTCTCGAACACACATGTGCAGGAAACCGTAGACCGTGTGCACAAAATAGCGGATCTTGTGTTACAATTAATGAAAGTACACCCAAGTGTTAATTTGGGGTATGAAATTGTACATTTCAACTGATAACTCTTTGACACATAAAGGCGTAGAGCCATTTACATTTACACTGGAAACATGTCGGGAGCCAACCCCAAACTCCCAAAGTCTGCACTGAATTTGTGTGGAATGTATCACATTTCACTTAAACAAGCCCCGCATATTACAGCAATATACAGATATAGCAAACCATTGAACAACCGCGTTCACCAGTACACGATTATCTCAACCCGGGCAACTCTGCCAGATCATCATCAAGACTTGGCGCGCGCTGGAGACACAACGACCACATGTGCCCCCTACCGCGTACGTCGTTATCGGTTTCCGCGTCATTCGGCTTCCGCAATAAATCGTATTCAAATGGCGAAACCACAATGTATTCCATGCACCGGGTTTGGTAAACCACCCACACCGAGGACCACATCAACCGAAACCCTAGGCTTCTCACACGTGGATCTGCTTGGCACCTCACCATCACATCCAGTCGAGTTGTCGCATCACACCTGGACATCGCATGCGATGTTGCGCCAACGGTGTCGACCATTGGGTATATACATGACGTTCGCACCAGCTGGACATTGTAGGCAAGGGTTACGCCTTGCTCTCCCCTTCCTTCCGAATAGTGCCATTGTCGCGAGATCCCATAGTTGCTGTGCTCACCCAGTCATCCCCTCCGTGCTCACGTATTAATCTCCCTTCGTCTTCCGAATGCCTGTCAGTGTTCGTTCATGATGGCGAAACCTAAGCAGTTGGTCTCTAAGCGCAACCGGTTCTATGAACCGGAGACTAGCAGTAGCTCCGATGACCAAGATGCTGCCCCGCCCGTCACCAGATCCAGGTCGTCGAACAAGGCCGACAATAGGGCTCAGAAGTTCGCGAATCATGTGGTGGAAAAGGCGCGAGAGCCGGTGCCGGACGACTTGGTGGCCACTATCGCCCGGAATTATGTGAAATCATCGTACAGCAACATGAAGCTCATGAATCACCGCGGTGTCGGATGTGAAGTGGATAAGGACGACCTCATGTCCATAGAGGACGATCAGTGGATTACTGATGGTGTGATCGACTTCCACAACGTGTAAGTGTCGTTCCGACAGTCACACCCCTGACGCGACATGTTGCGCGATTATTACGGATCTCGCGGACCCTGATGTGCTGATATGAACTTTTTCGTGCACTCGGCAGGCTGCTTAGCATCAGGAAGCCAAAGCTCCGTGATGGGAAGACATGGGCCGCTATGGACTGCAAGGCTTACACACAGACGAATGACTATGGAGCGCCGGTAACACTGGGAAACGGGCGGCCACTTCTGGATCACGATTATCTGGCGATCCCGGTGCTCGAGTCGTGAGTATCGTGCATAAAGTGCTTGTGAGTGGTTTCTGTTGTGAGCCGGGGTGTACTGTCTAACAACTAATCCGTTTAACCCCCCTCATGTTGAGCGCAGTGAACACTATTCCCTCGTCATCGCTATAGGTCCATCGGTGCTCACCAAGTCATCGAAATCTACGGGCAAGGAGCGCATGACGTTGGTCTTGCTGGACAGTTCCATCAAGAATCGGAATACCCGCAAGATTTTTGCAGGAACCAAGCTGTGAGTCATGGTTTTAATGACAATGTCTCCAGTTGTCGTACATGGTCGGTATTTAAAAACGCCTCTGGCCTCTTGCGTGCAGCGTGCTGTCCGAACTCGCCAAGGCGAGTAACCCAAACGCGAACATGGAGTTTGTGGACAAGATGCTGACAGAGGCGGACTGCATCATTCTACGGGTGAGCATGCAACCGGACTCTGTGGATACCAATGTGCAGTAAGCGCCCGCAAGTATACTGATTTCTAACTCGCATATGCGGTCCCGTATTTGCAGGAGGATAAGCTGCCACAGCAGCCTAACAAGGAGGACTGTGGGATTTTTGTTTGTCAGTACCTCAAGACCCTGGTGAATACCGACTTCACCACGGTTTTGAACGGCCTCTGGTTCCAGGGTGTGACACCGCACCAATACAGGCGGGAGATGCGGCGCGACTTGTGTGCACACGCGTGCGGAGATCTTATTAAACAGCTGGAGGACCTGGGGATTGAAATCCCCCCGCAGGACGAAGGCCGGGTTACCGATGAGGGGGCAGTGGTGCAGGAGAGGAACGCTGCTATGGGAGAGGGGAGGCAAGCTCCGGTCACTCGCCCTGTGGAGGACGCACGGGTTACGGAGATGATGAGGCGACTGGCGACGTTGAATAACGATGTGAGGTACCTGGACGCCAGCTTCACCGTACTCGCCAACTTTGTAGGGCTGAGGCGGGACGAGGTGGTGACAGCTGCAACCCAACTACTGCTGCATGGGGGTCACGCGGGGACCGGCGCGAAAGCAGAGGCGGGTGGCACCAAGAATGCTCCACGCACTCCACAGCGTCCGTCTAGACGTAAGAGGCGGGATGACAGCAGTCCTGAGGAGGATGGCGTGCGCAATGCCACCCGGGTTGCGCTGGCCTCCACGTTCGCTGCATGTGAGCCGACATCGACCTTGCTGCAGAACCCGCACCTTGCGCATGGGACCATACCTCACTGGATGTTCACGCGCGGGATGCACCTGCTCGGGGCGGGTGTGCCAGCTGGAGCTGACGTGTGGGGAGACACGCGAGGGAAGGAGACGGTGAAGGCCGAAGAGGAGGAGGATCTCGTGTCAGACACAGACGACGAGGAGGATGATGACGAAGTGTGTGCCTTCAGATACACGGGTGTGAAGTTGGATAAAGCATCCGGCAAGTACGGCATGAAGATCCTGATTAAGGAAGGTGGAAAGCGTAAGCAGCAGCGGCTGGGAGCGTACACCACGGAGGAAGAGGGGGCGTTCGCGTACGCCGCAGGTGCGTTCGTGCTGAGGCCACGTGACAAGATACCCAACACGGTCAGCCTGTCAGCCGCAGAGAAGGCGATGCTGCGTGGTTGCACCAAAGAAGATTTGCAGATCCTGGTGGAAGCGCGGAAGTGGTGGAGGTGGAGGAGCTGGCGGGAGGCGCTGGATAGCGTGAGCAGCAAGCTGAAACGTGGCAGGAAGCGTGGGGGTGCCACAGGTACATCAAAGAGGCACAGGGTGGTGGATAGCAACACCATGGCTACCAACGAACCAGAGGTCCCCGACAATGCGGAGAGTGGGGGGACGGCCCCTGTGAGCGAGCAGGGCGGGGGTGCAAAGAACAAAGAGCAGGAAGAGCGAGGGGAAGACACTGGTGCACATGAGAACACGTCAGGCCCTGCTGCATAGTGGATGTATAGACAAAGCATATGGGAGACAGGTCGTGCACGTAGTAGCTTAGTTTTGTATTGCACTTGCTAATGTACAGCGCTTGCTGTAGTGTGCATGTATGCATGTGTAATAAACGTTACGACGTGTGCGTACATGGTGTGACCGACATGTGTTGTAATCCGGTTGTGTAATCGTGCACTTGGTGTGCTATATTACGAAGTGGTGTATGAAATCACTGAATACCGAGAACCGGTTTGCGAGCCTGATGGCAACACAAACGAGGACTATGGATACGGTTATGTCAACAGGATGTGCGCAGTGTGTGGTTCTGCTGTGCACACATGCATCACTAGGTACGTTGACGTGGTGTCCATCTATTCGTCGTTTCGGATTGCGATCATCCAGATGTGTACGTGGTAGTTTTGCCTACCAAACTCATTGTGTACACGGTGCTCCGGCGTGTTAAGAATTTGGGCCCCCAACTTTGTGTAGAAATATCGTATTGAGCGTCATTGTGAAAGCAACTCACTGCATACTTCCCTTGCGAAAATGGATACCTCAATTGCTTCCGACGATACGAGGGGTGGAGGCCGGTCGCGACGTGTCTCACTCCCGCCGGCGTACCTGCGAGCGTCGTACCAGCTGACGATGCCGCGAGGTCGACTGTCGAACGGGAAACGTGGGGCGACCATTCCTAAGCGCCTGAGCTTAGCCAAGAAGGGAAAGGAGGTGGTGCAGCCGGAGCAAGGTATGCAGCCCGAGCATGTGTGGATGTGTCATGACGTTATTACTGTTTTTTGTCCGCTCTGAACAAACTCGGACCCCAGTGACATGCCATTTGCTAACTTGGGGTGTTGTGCCTTTCTGGTGTTTCGCTCACCCACAGATGACGGGACGGGCGCCGAAAGTGCAGATTCGTCCGAGCGCAGCGAGGAGGATGACGAGGAAGGCTCAGACACATCGGCTAGCGCCTCACACGAAGAATCCGCCGACCCTGCTCCGGAGGCGAAGACGAACGACGATGGGTGTGCGGGAACCGCTGCGCCCAATGCTGACACGCGCGCAAGCCAAGGCGCGCGGGACACGGATGTGCCTCGAGGTGACGGCCGAGGACATGCGGACGGACCTGTGGACCGCACATGCGGGAACACGTTGAACCCAAACGGCGATGACGTGCGCATCCCGAGCAGGGTCCTCGAGCAACTTATACAGGCTCAGGACAAGAGCGCCAAGGAGAACGCGCGGTTGGAGGCGCTGTTCTTGAATGCGATGTCTCGGCCTTCCGGTGGCTCTCGTAAGCGTAAGGCGCAGAAGCAGAGAGACCCGGGACAGGGGTGTATGAACCCGAAGCGTCAGCGTGGCGAGACGTGGAGTGGAGGGTCCGACGACGAGGGCGAGGACGACGAGGACGACACGCATGGTTCTGGTGGCCGTCATATGCATACCGCAAAGTCCCCTATTCTGCAACGCACGCTGGAGCATTTGCCGACGGACAAGGCGTGGAAGGTGAGCGGGCATGTTTCCGGAGGGGTCTATTGAACCGTCTTCGATTTGGAGTGCACTGATGTGCAGTTGACGCTCATCGGATGACGCTTACTTTGTTCATCGTGTACACCATACGTGCGCAGAGGGTTTGCGAGCTCGCCAGGGTGCACATGTTTCTCAACAGGCCGACGTCGACGATGACCTTCTACCCGAGCAGCGACGATAAGACTCATGGAGTGTGTGCGGTGCTGGACCGCCTGCCGCATAGCTTCGCGTGCTTGGCGTTGGCGGCTGACAAGTCGCGACGCGCGGACCTCAACAAGACGCTCTCTGAGTGGAAGACGCGGGCCGCCGCCCGCGTGCGAGACATTGCACTTCCCAAGCTCGGCTTGTTCCGCGACGACAGGGACGCATCCAGCCCGTGGGCACCAGAGAAGGAGCGCAGTATCGAGAAGATCCGGGAGCGCATTGGGCTTGGCGCTGACCGCCCTGGTGAGTGCCATGAAGACAGCAGGTGGGGTCGCCTACGTGTTGGTATGCTGACAATGAGTGTATGGCGGCCATTGACACTGACTGTGCGCATATGGTGTGCAGAAACCCTGGTGCTCACGAGCTGGGCGACAGACCGGGACGGCATGCCGTTTGCCTCTCGGGCGTTCGCGACATGCGCGAAGGCTGCATTCAGGCCTAAGAAGGCCGGGCTGGTGATGACTCTGAAGGTGTACCACCTGGCCTGGTTGGAGCATGTGGTGAGTTTGTGCGCTCAATGTGTGCACGGTTTTTGCGTTGTACTGTCGTACCATTTGAGTGACAAGCTGGGTGTTTCCGCAGGTCTCCGACTGCGTCCTCTACTGGGAGGAGAGGAAAGGCCGGCTTTCCAACTCGGCCGGGGGAAACGCCCACGTTGTGGACGGCCTCAAGGTCCTGGTGAAGGAGGCCGTGGAGAGGGCGATCCGGATCCGCAACCCGGAGTATGACGCGGAGCGCGAGGCGTGGACCTGGGGCCGCCATGGACTGCGCATCTCTGCGTGCGGCCTGGAGCACATGAAGCCCACCGCCACAGCTCAGTCCGAAGACCTTGTGGGGGATGACGACCTTTCGGCGTCAGTTGGTGCTGAGTAGGCCGACTGGCGTGGGGGGCGTCATGGATCGTGTTGCGGACCGTTGAGGGGACAGGTGGTGGAGAGGTGTCTCAGGCATCATTATCTCTTCTGGTTGTGGGTCTTGAGTAGCAGTTTAGTGTGCACGGGTTTTTGCATGTGTGTTAATGGAAGTTACGGGGGTTAGTTGTATGCATGGTTGCGTAGTATGTTTGTGTGTGCGTTCCAACGTTAATGTGAGGAGGCTTTATTGGGGTATTGATGCAGATGATAGCACAACACCTACACCACTAGGATGCGGAATGCATCAGCCAGGCCGTCCACCAGGTGTGCGGGATGGCGTGGAACGCGCCGCATGTTGCGGCGCGTTTCACGGAGTGTGCCATATGTCACGTAAATGTGTGGACGTAAGAGTCTTCACGGTGCGCACGCGTTGACATCTGGTTGGATATTCAACATGGATAAGAGATGACGAGGAACCAATTGCACAGTGGCGTACACGGTGGACTACGCGTGTCACCATCCAGTACGGACGCGAAGATGAGGTTGACGGTTGGAAACGCGGTGTGATATGCGCGGAGGGTGAGATAGTTGTACGGTCGTGATTGTGTCGTGCAGATGACGCGAACGAGTGCAACGATGAGATGGTAACTGGTTACTAGATGTGCGAGAACGGGATCGACCGGCAAGTGTACGGGGTAGATCGAATACGTGTGCGTGACGCGACAGCTCGGTGGTAGAGACGATGTCCACTGATGGACGACGCAGATGGCGTCGTCACCTAGTAGCGTGTGAAAAACTACTGGGTGGCGAGTAATATGGCGAAGTGTACGAAACGGTGGCGGCGTGACAGGTGTACGGTGATTATGCAATGTAGTGTAGGCTGCGGACGCACGATGCGCAAGTAGAGTGATGCGACATGGTAGCATGCTAGTGGGTATTGAACGAGTGATTTGCGGTTAGCGCACCTGTGGGTTGGCACCAACTGTCACGTATGTACAGGGTGAGCATCGATCAGATGGACGGTGAAGATACTGGCGCTGTCTGTGCGCTGGCATGTGCGAGTTTATGTACAGGAGACACGTGAACCGTCGCGATTGCGTGACCCGAATGTGCATCCAACGGTTGGGGTGCGGGTACGTTATAAACCCTAAACGCTTACGTGGACGTGCGGGTTGATACTGGATGCCACGTGGGTGGGCGCGTACGGTGTGGCAGATGGGGTTGCTTACTCGTCACTTTGTAGTTGGTTGGCATGGTATGGTTGGGTAAACTTTTGTGTGGCGCAGCCCATGATTGATGAGCAACTGCACGGATGCGGGTGTAGTGTCTAATTTGATGCACGCATATGTACAGAATGCATCGGGAAGGTGAACGCGAAGTTACTTTGTAAGTGACTGTGGCCATGCAGTTCTAAAACCTTGACTCAAAAGTGCCGGGCAAAAAATATCGGGAAAGTTTCGGAAGAGTGTATTTCGAGTTGCTTTCCGAGCTTGCCATTTTCGCGATGAAAGGAAGTTTCGGTTTCTTCAAGCTACTAAAAATCGTCATGCGTTGTGACGTCCTTCCGGGCCATTCGAAGGACACTACAGGCCTGATCTCAGGTGGTCGGTTGTATCTGCAGGTAGCTAGGAAAACGAACAGTGGAATGGAAGTTCTGGCGAGATAGTTCGCTGAAATCGCGTGTGGAAGGGAGGCCAACCAGGCTTGGCACGTTGTAGTTTGCTCAAGAACTCGCGTGGGGAAGGGAGGTCAATAAGGGTTGGCAGGATGTGAAAGCTTACATATTGTTCCGATATGAACTGACTTGCTAGAAGGTTTCAAAGGTGAAAAATGCAAAACAGTACATCTTCCTTTCATAAACAGGCTTTATAATGTTTCGTCATCCCTTCGCCACTTTTCCTCGCGGCTCGGCAGTTCACCACTGGGGATTTCTGGTCTTGATGCAAGTCAATGTAGCGGAAAGATTCGCACGCCATGTCTCAAGAATTGTCGCACGGAATGTCGCACGTACCGTCGCATGCACTGTCGTACTCACTGTCGCAATTCAACGTTCGTCGCTCGTCGCACTACCCATTCCTAGTAAATTCCTCGTTATGGACTGGCTCGCTACACGCACACGCTGCCTTCAACGCCGAAGCTCACTCTTCGAGGCAGCTCCAGGTTAGTGTAGCTTCACACGATTTAATCAAATGCTAGTATCCACCACAGGGGATAGACGTACCGCCGATCCCCCCCTCGGTTAGGGTTTTTCCTTTCTCATTCCAGGGAGAGTGGCGCGCGGAAAACGCGCGGAAGATCAAGGCAGCTCCAAGCAAGTGTAGCTTCAGGCATCTACTACTGCGTGGTGGCGCCGCATCGGCGCGCTTCATAGGGGAAGCGGCGAGGGGGAGCGGCGGGGGGAGCGGCGTGGGGAGCGGTGGGGGGAGCGGTGGGGGGAACGGTGGGGGGAACGGTGGGGGGAGCGGTGGTGGAAACGGTGGGGGGAACGGTGGGGGGAGCGGTGGGGGAAGCGGTGGGGGGAACGGTGGGGGGAGCGGTGGGGGGAACGGTGGGGGGAGCGGTGGGGGAAACGGTGGGGGGAACGGTGGGGGGAACGGTGGGGATAGCAGCGCCGGATCTCAGCGGAGTGGTGTGGGTTAAGACGCACACGCTCATACCAAGCACGCACAACCGCCCAGACACATTATGGATCGGCGCGCACTTCAGAGGGGGAGCGGCGAGGGGGAGCGGTGGGGGGAGCGGCGGAGGGAGCGGTGGGGGTAGCAGCGCCGGATTTCTGCGAAACGGTGGGGGTTAAGACGCACACGCTCGTACCAAACACGCACAACCGCCCAGACACATTATGCACACATGGCGTGTACACGCTCATACCACACTCGCGCGCACACACGCGCACTCCCAGACACACACATACGCTCGGGCCACGGAAACATGCACACACGCATGCACACACCATGCGCACACCATGCGCACACCATGCACCCACCATGCACACACCATGCACACACCACGCGCACACCATGCACACACCATGCACACCGTGCACACACCATGCACACCGTGCACACACCATGCACACCGTGCACACACCATGCACACCGTGCACACACCATGCACACCGTGCACACACCATGCACACCGTGCACACACCATGCACACCGTGCACACACCATGCACACCGTGCACACACCATGCACACCGTGCACACACCATGCACACCGTGCACACACCATGCACACCGTGCACACACCATGCACACCGTGCACACACCATGCACACCGTGCACACACCGTGCACACCGTGCACACACCATGCACACCGTGCACACACCATGCACACCGTGCACACACCAGTGCACACCGTGCACACACCATGCACACCGTGCACACACCATGCACACCGTGCACACACCATGCACACCGTGCACACACCATGCACACCGTGCACACACCATGCACACCGTGCACACACCGTGCACACCGTGCACACACCATGCACACCGTGCACACACCGTGCACACCGTGCACACACCATGCACACCGTGCACACACCGTGCACACACCGTGCACACACCATGCACACCGTGCACACACCATGCACACCGTGCACACACCATGCACACCGTGCACACCATGCACACCGTGCACACACCATGCACACCGTGCACACACCATGCACACCGTGCACACACCATGCACACCGTGCACACACCATGCACACCGTGCACACACCATGCACACCGTGCACACACCATGCACACCGTGCACACACCATGCACACCGTGCACACACCATGCACACCGTGCACACACCATGCACACCGTGCACACACCATGCACACCGTGCACACACCATGCACACCGTGCACACACCATGCACACCGTGCACACACCGTGCACATGTTCCCAACCCCACCAGGGTAGCATTTGGACCCCACCCTTCTGACAGTAAACATCCACTTCCCAACGTGGCCAATGCCACGTGTAAAAGGTCGGTAATTGTAACACTTCTTTTTTTTTCCCCTTTTTTCTTGACCTCCTTGTGTGCTCCCTTTTCAAAACTTCCCAACCCACTTACCTATCACTTCTTTCACTCACTTGCACTTTCCTTTCCCCCTTTCCTGCACTCCCCTTCCCCTGCTTGCTTCCCTTCTCTCACTCCCCGTCCCTCGCTCTCTTTTCCTCACCTTCCCTACCTGTCACTTTGATTTTACCCACTCCCGGCACCACTGTCCGCTCTGCTCTTCTCCCCATACTTCTCCATTTTTGCGGTTCCTCAGCATTTGCCGCACGCACTATTGACGCGCCAAGAATCGATCCCATATGTGCCTGCCACTACCTGGCCACCCGCGTGTGATGAGACGATTTTTGAGTCGACTCAAAAATCGTCTCATCGAGTCGACTAAAAAATGATCCCATGTGTGTGCCTGCCACTACCTGGTCACCTCTTCTCCCATTCTCACATGTATTGACAAATTTTCCCATTCTCGCCTCTCTTATGATCCTTTAAAATAACCTACGGTAATAGTAGCTTAACTTCCCTGGTCCTTAACCTCACTCCCCTGTTCATCTCTCCCTTGCGTAGCACTGCTTGCTCTACTCTTCTCCTCACACTCCTTCCCATTCTCACCTCTCACTTGTAGCCCTGTGAAAATGATCAAAGTTGAGAGACTCGTAAATGCTTGTACTTCTCGCCCTCATTTCCTCTTTGCCTAATTCCTTGCTCTCCTTCGTTATAACTGTATAACTCATCTACCCTCTCATGGTTCTGCTTGTCCTTCGCCTATTCTTGAATGATATCTCGATTTGTGCTCCCTCCTCCCCCTTCCCTCTCTCCCCTTCACATTCAGCATTTTTATGTTTTGACTTACTGTCCCCCAGTTGATACCTCTTTTACTACCCTACACCACTGCCGTTTGTATCACCACCAGGAGCAGAAGCATTTTTGTTGCAAGCAGAGCTGGGCAGGGCAGATTTCAACTGCTCACTTCAAGCATGTATTGAAATATAATATTGGTAACAAAAGATTGATGCAAGCTTATACATATTAATATTGACATTATAAGCTTTTTCACGGCAAAAATTTTACCCTTTTTCACCCGACCAGGAAAAATACACACATGAGCCAAAACGTGTTCAGTAATTGTGCCGAATAAGTAACTCATGACCACTTCAGGCATATCATTAACCCCCACTGTAGGTTAAATCTTATATCTTATTACGGTGATTGTTTTACCCAACCACGGGAATCATTTGAACAATCCCGCCTTCGTCCACGAAGATGCGAATGCGATCGGCGCGATAATCGGCGGTGACCAAAGCCTGCCAAGGGATGATTTCGATGTCATAGTTGCACTGCCGCACTGACGACTGGATGTAGGCGCGAGCCGCCTGGCCCGTCATGCCCACAACCTCGGGCCACGACGTCTTGCTGTAATGAAGGGAAACATAAATGGCCGATTCATATGAATAGGTCTGACGACTGGACACAACGAAACTACATTCTTTTTTAGAATTCAGATATAAAAAAGCGAGCAGGCATGGAGGTCATATGGAACATGCATTTGCACCTCGTACAAAAAGTCCCGACGAACCTGCAGTCAAATTGCCTTGGGGAGCGCTCGAGGCCGATTGCCTGCGACGGAAATACTCGGGAGGAAGCGAGCGGAAGAACCGAGGCGGAGAGGATGAGCAGGACCAAGACGGGGAAGAGACGGCGAAGTTCCATTGCTGACGGAATTCTAAAGGGAAAAAAGCGGAAGCACCAAACGAGAAACGAGCACGTGGACCAGATATGCCTATACTATAGACTGATGATCATGCTTATGCTTGCTGCTCTGGCTAAAATACTACTCATGAAGCTAGACTTGTCATGCAACTGAGCATTCGGGCCGGCTTGACTTCGAGTGATTTGGTTAGGAAGTGGAGGAAGGTGTGGTGGAGGTGAAAGGAGAAGAATCGAGAATGCTTTGGCTTGGAATGTGGACGTTGGGGGTGGATCTGGATCAGGCTTACCCCTTCCGACGAAGTCGTGAAACCCACAACACTGTCGAAAACTATGGGTTCGTGATGCGTGGGCTTCGGTTGCGGGTGTTCATCCGTTCTTAGAAACTGCTGAAAATATCAAAATGGTAGCGGTACTATAAGTAAATATATTTTTTTTTTTATCGAACTTGAAATCGAAATGCGATACCCTTGGAACTTGAGCCCTTCCAATATCACTAGCCCTTACAATATCTCTCATTTGGTCGGCAGCTAGCTGGGCATGAAAACCGAGCAGCAGAGGTTCTCACGAAAAAGTCGGCTGACGAAGCGCTGAGGAAATCGTGATCTTGGCAGTGTCTTGGCACGTTTCGCAGGCCGCATTCAGTTTCGATATAGATGTAGCTGCTAAAACTTCAGAGTTAAAAAGGCGAAAGTTGAAAAAAAAAAATATCAAACTTTGCAGGAAATGTGGGTTTCAGTGGGCTGACAAAAAAGCAGTAGCACACTCTCTTAGTTTTCTGGAGTCCGCAGATCCGCAGATCCGCAACTTTGACTCGTTTCAGAGGCTCTCCGCCTCGCGATCTCGCCACGTATCCGGCCATTCAAGCGCATCAAAAGCTTTCGTCGCATCTTCACTTCCACTGTTCCTTGCATCTGTGCAAAGCTTAGCAATCTCGACCAATCCTAGGGTCTGTTGGTGTCGCGGCAAAGTCGTCGTCGGAGAGAAGCTTGCTTGCACCGTCGCACGTGCTGTCGCAATCAATGTCGTCAGTCAAGCGATCGTCGCTCGTCACACCGCTTAGTCCTTCCGCCATGTAAATCAACGGTACGGACTCGCTCGTTACACGCACATGGTACTCTTTTGCCTCCCGAGCTCACGCACCAGTGCAACTCAACGCTAGTTCCACATCGCGAGTGCTTCTAACGCGGATGCCACTACCGCGGATGCACGTTCCGCCAACCATCCGCGTTCTCCTTCCGCGGATGTTACTTTCCCGCGAGGAGCGTTTGCGCTATCGTTTCTGGGGCAATGGCGGAAGGAAAAAGTGGCGGGGATCGGCTAACGCGTGGAGGAGCCGCGATCGGCGCACTTCAAGGGGAGACTGGCGGGGGAAATGGCGGGAGGGAGCTGCGGGGGGGATGCCGGGGGAGCAGGAGGGGGGGGGGGGGGAGGGGGGGGGGGGGAAGCGGCGGAGGTAGCAGCGCAGGATGAGGGGAGTTATCATCAGCGAAGCGGTGGGGGTTGATATCTAAGGGGCTAGGCGCGTTCGCACTGGTCCAGGTACGGAAAAGAAGGATTCCGGGTGTAGATCGGTGAAAGTGCGGTGCAGGGAAGTACAGCCACTGGGAGTTAGACGCGTTCGCAGAGGCTCAGGTGCGGAAAAAATAACGGCTGGGTGTGAGACGGTGATGAGCGGTGTGAGGCGGTCGTGGGTGAGCGGTGATGGGTGTGGGGTGATGGGGTGGGTGATGGGTGAAGCGCGGTGCAGGGGGGGTAGGACCGTTGTAATGGTGAACGCAGTAGGCTCCGCTCCACCCATCGTTCCCAGTAGAGCCACTAATCCTTGCAACTCTCCCCATCCCCCAACCAATCATGTGTCTTGAGACGTGCGTAGAAACAGGGGGGAAGAAAAGAGAAAGGGGAAGGGGGAGGGGGGGGGAGCGGGGGAGTTGGGGGGGATGCAGCGGGGGTACCCGCGCAGGACGGACAAAGTGTCGGGGTTGAGATCAAGGAGCAAGACGCGTTCGCAGTGGTTCGCGCAGTGGTTCGCGCAGTGGTTCAGGTGTGGTTGAGGTAAGGTGATGATGTGTGTTAATCGGTGAAGCGTGGTGCACGGATGTAATATCTGTTCTACTGGAGGCGAACCAGTGGCCACGCTCACTCGATACAAATAACATCTCACTTATTCCGACTCATATCTGTTGTACTTACTGCCATTCAATTAAAGACTTGATCAATCAGTGACGACAACTCACATTCCTACATTCTCCTATTCCAATCCCCTTCGCCCTCACATTCCCTCCACTTTTGCAGAAGCAGCAGCAGCAGCAGCAGCAGCAGCAGTAGCAGCACTTATGAGCACTTATCATTCACGATAACTTGTAACTCCACATGAACCACCCCCCTCCACCTTCCAATCGTCCCTCCAATCCTCCTGCCATTGGCTCAATCCGAACATCCCGCCCTTGGCCAATGATAGGTAATTCTTCTCTCCCTCTCCTACCTCCTCAGGAGCTCCTTTTTCAGCCTCTTCCCACCCCACTTTCACATTTTCCTTCCCTCACTCGTCCTTCCCTCGCTCACCCACTTCCCTCGATCCCGCCCCGTTGCTCTCCTTCCCTCACTCTCCCTATCCTCATTCCCTTTTTTATTCACTCTCTTGAGCACCACTGTCCTCTGTTCTCTTCTCCTCATACCATACTCCTTCCCATCTTATGGACACTGCATCATTTGTCCCACTTTTGAGCCGCCTACAGGAGCATCAGATCTACACCCACACCAATGCTTGCTCCACTCGTCCCCTCAATTCTTCCCACTCTCACCTCTCACTTGTGGAGCCATGTATGTAGCAAAACTGTGTATTAATAACCAAGTTGTGGGATCTCTACATGCTTGCACTCTCCACCCTCATTTCCCCTTTGCCTGATTCCTTGCTCCCCTTCATTTACACCTCCTCTGCCCCCTCGTATTCTCCATGTGTGTTCCATTCCATGCGTTTCTTCTATTTAAATTAAAGCCGGCGGCCCAAATTGTTCATGCTTTTAAAAGTTGACCAGAGGGAGTTTTTCTGGTGTGGGCTTTGGCGAGAGTTTCCGATTTCGTCTAGGTTCGTTTTTTTCGCGAGACCCAGCCAACCCTCGGTTTTCCCCCTGGTGAGTGAATCTGTCTTCGAAAGTCCCAAATTGCAAGTGCGTGACTTTCAAAAGCTTGGACACTCAACTTCGTCAAGTTTTAAAAACTTGACCCTTGCGGCCCGCAATTTGGGACGCGGGCTTTAAACTAACTCTGTTTTGTGCTTACTCCCCCCTGTCCCCTCCTCGCCCCGTCTTCCCTTCACATTCTAGATTGTATAGCGTTTGCAAGAAGTGCTGGACAAATTTATGGAAAACAGAAAAAGGGCATGTGAGCAGGAGAAACACCTTTCTATGGAGGAGACCACCACCCACCCATTCGCTTAATGTTGAATTTGGAAAGCTTGAGTGACCATCCCAGTCAGCATTACGATCATCATTCTTCAGTACATGTATACACAGGTTCGGCGCTGTTTATTTCATAACCGCCATTTATGCAGGACAGTACCGTTGTAGCAAGGATATCTACATAATCCATAACGTATTTAGCAATTTTGCTGTCATTAGCCCGCACTGTAGATTAAAATTTTCACCCAACCACAGGAATTGAGCGAACAATCCCTTCTGGATCCACGAAGATGCGAATGCGGTCGGTGCGATAATCCGCGGTAACCATAGCCCCAAACGGGATAATTACGATATCCCAATTGCACTGCGGCACAGACGACTGGATGTAAGCCTTAGCCGCCTGTCATGCCCAGCACCTCAGGCCAAGACGTCTTGCTGTAAAGAAGATACAGAAATGGCCGATTTACAAGAATAAGGGATGACGAATGGTCTGAACATAATTCTCCAAAAAAACCAGCGAGCACTGCTTCAAAAATTATACCCCATTCAAATAACCTAAAACATACCCTGAACATGGCAACCGTGGCATACGAGTCCTGGTGGAACATTCATTTCCTCGCTACTACTTCAAAAAGTCCCTACGAACCTGCAGTCAAGTTCCCGTGGGGAGCGCAAGCGGCCGATTGCCTGCGACGGAAATTCTCGGGAGGAAGCGAGCGGAAGAAGCGAGGCGGAGAGAAGGAGCAGGACCAAGACGGGGAAGAGGCGGCGAAGTTCCATTGCTGACGGAACAGGAAAGAGTAAGCACCGAACGAAAAGAAACGGGCCGTGAACCAGAGCAGCCTATACTTTCAGACTGAAGATGATTCTGCTGCTGAGTTGAAATACTTCTCATGAAGCTTTGGCTACATCTATACATGGCATTCCGGCCGAACCTCTGAAGCGGTTTGGTTGGGAAGTGGGGAAAGGTGTGTGTAGGAGAAGAATCGAGAATTCTTCCGAGTCGGAATGTGGATGTTGGGGGTGGTGGGTATTGTCTGGAGAAGGTTTACCCTTCTCGACAAGTTGTGAAACCCACTACATGGACAGAAAATGATGGGTTCGTGATGCGTCCGTGGATGTTCATTCGTTCATTTTTATCTTTGTTCATTTGTTTCAAGCGCAAAATCGCTATGCGATACCTTTGAAGTTATGCCCTTCCATGGTAACTAGCCTGATCATTCACTAGGTCGGCAGCTATTTCGTAAGAAAAACGAACGGTGGAAGTTTTCACGAGAAAGTCGGCTGATGATGCGGCTTGGGGAAAGTCGTGGTCAACGGGGCTTGGCAGTATCGGGTCTTGTTGGCGCGTTATGCGAGGTTCATTCATTCTCGACATACATTCAGCTGCAAAAACTCTAGAGCCACAAAGGTGAAATTAAAAACACACATCAAACTTCCCAAAAAACGTTGACGTCATCAACGCCCAAAGAAAATAACACCGTATATTGATAATAAAATTGTTTCTTAATTCCTTCTGTCTATTAGTTGTCTTAGTATAAAACCCCCCCAGAAAAAAAAAACATGATGCTATGTCACCCGCCTCCCTTCGCTCCTCCCTCTCCTGCAATTCCCCCACTATCTCCCTCCTCACCACCTTTCTCAAAACATTTCCCTTCCTCTCCTGCAGCCAATCCCTCCTCTTCTCCTTCCACTGCCTCTCCCTCTTCATCCTGATCCCCCATACTTTTCCCTAAAGCTGTACCCAAAATATTTTCTTTTTCCTCCTTCGCCCCCTCCCCACCTCCATCCCCTCCTCCCCCCCACATCATCCCCCGTGCCACATCCACCAACCCTTCAAACGACAGCCACCCCGCCTCTCCCGTCCCCTCCTTCCTCTCCCCCCCAGCTCTCTCCACCGCACCCCACCAGCCTGCACCCAACCCCCACCCACCTCCCGAACCAAACCCAGCAAACCCACCAGTCCCACCTGCCCCAGTCCCGCCTTCCATGAGCTTCTCCAGGCCGATGGGCGGCACAGGGGGGGAGTACATCGGCAGGCACTTCTTGGCCTGCTTCAGTTGAGACTCCATGACAGGCTTGGGGGTGGAGGGGGGACGCCAGAATTCCCTTGAGGCAGAATAGACAGCCACGGCCGCTCGGATCGACTCTCCGGGGGACACCGGCGCTGCCACCGCCGCCGCTGCTGCTGACAGGAGGGAGCCCACACCTCCGTCGCTGTTGGTTCGAGCACACCTCCTCGCTCACCTCTTGTTCCTCTCCTCCTTGCTCCCCTCGTTAATCGCTTCGTCACTCTCCCCATTCCTCTCACTCCACGGATCGTTTTCACCGTCCTTCTCGCCGTCGTTTTTCCCTGCTAATCTGCCAGCCATGCCCTGCAACAGTGCAGTCTCTTGGCGGTGCTCCAGCAGGGCCCTCTCTTGGAAGGAGAGCAGCGAGCGGGAGATGCGCAGCGAGCGAGGGAGCGAGCGCTTGGTCCAGTGGGGCAGGCCGGGCACAAACAGGCCCGCGGTGGAAGTGACATCATGGGGAAGGGAGAAGGAAGATGAGGCACCCATGCTCTCATGCCATCGCCTCAATCGAGACTCAAGTGACTCCTGCCCCTCCTTGCCTCCCTCCCCTTCGTCTGCTGCTTCTGTTTCTGCTGCTGCTGCTGCTGCTGCTGCTGCTGCTGCTGCTGCTGCTGCTGCTGCTGCTGCTGCTGCTGCTGCTGCTGCTGCTGCTGCTGCTGCTGCTGCTGCTGCTGCTGCTGCTGCTGCTGCTGCTGCTGCTGCTACTTCTCCTGCAACTGCCACTTCTGCTACTGCTGCTTCTTCTCCTGCCATTGCCACTTCTAATGCTGCTTCTGGTGCTGCTGCTGCTGCTGCTTCTGCTGCTGCTGCTTCTGCTGCTGCCGCTGCTGCTGGTATAGCTTGAGGCTGCACAGCTGGCGATGGCATGTTGTCAATATCAGGGCAGCTGGAGGTTCGGTAGAACCTTCTAGCAGCACCCATACGTGGAACTGCTGGTCTCCTCGGCAACTGGGGGGCAGCAGTCGTGGTTGTTCGCCCCGTTCCTGCTGCTGCTGCTCCTTCTCCTGCCCCTGCTACATCAGTTGTAACTGCAAGTGATGATGCAGACCATGCATCTGCTGCCACTTCTCCCCTTCCTCCTTGTGCACCTGCGGCTGTTGCTGTTGCGTACGCATCACTGCTGCCTGCAGAGAAAGCATCGAGTCCGTCTGCAGCAGCAGCAGAAGCAGCAGCCCGCCGAGTCCACCCTGGGCTGCCCAGGTGGGAGGAGAGGATGATGGGCACCGGTGATACATCACACACACTCAGGATGCGCTCACACACCAAGTTTGCACTGCCCACACTCCCCATGCTCCCAATACTGTCACGGCGCCGCAGGGTCGGAACAAAGGTCGGTTCAATGGCGCGTTCAAAGGTGCGTTCGCATGCGACACTTGCACTCCTGCGGTGTTATCGCGATCGCCTGCCGTCATGGGTTGCAGGAGAGATACAACCCATCCCCTGCATGCTCCTTTCCACACTGCTGCTCCTGTGTGCTGTTCTGCTACAGCCACTTCCCATGCTCCCTTCTTCCTTTCTAAAAATGCTCTCCCTCAGAGCAATCGAGGAGGGATCATCCCCATACACACACTCAGCAAGGGCTTCGTTATAAGCACACACACCACCACTGGCATCCTCCTTGCTGTCAGAACGACCACCGGCAACAAGCTCCTCAATATAAGAACGTACGATTTTGGAATCCTGTGAGTCACCAGGATGAATCGAGAAGTTGTAGCTCAGGTCCATCCATGAAATCGTGCTTTCCTCTCGTGCCGTGTTGTCTCGTGCCGCTGTCGTATGTTGCTTCGGAGCACACCTCTCCTCTGCCTCCTTTTGAGTCGACTCAAAAGCAGTCGAGAAGTTGTAGCTCAAGTCCATCCATGAAATCGTGTTCCCTTCTCGTGCACTTTCTGCGTGGTGCTTCTGAGCAGATCCCTCCTCCGCCTCCTGCTCTTCCTTCCTCTCCTCCTCCTTCAGCTCCACACCCCTCTCACCCATCCCCCTCCACTCCTCCTCAATATTCTGCTGCAGCTTCTGCTGCTGCTGCCTCTGCTGCTGCTCATCCAAACTCACCTCCTTGACTGCGTATCGATCCACATACCCATAATCAACCGGGCTCTGAGGCGGCTCAAAACCGTGCACATATCCACCCACGAACCCTCCCACACCCTCTTTCCGTGCTCCTGCTGTTCCTGCTATGATGGAAGCAGCAGCGGTGAGAGCAGCATCGGCATCACCAGCAGCTGCAGCTGCTGATTTGATATCTCTCCAGATGCTGATTCTGCTGTTGCTGCTACTGCTGCCGAGGGGCCAAAAAGAGGTGGTAGCTGGTGAAGGAGAGGAGTCAATTCGGAATGGGGAGGCATTAGCTGGTGCAGGGGAAGCATCAACTGGGGAAGGGGTGCTGTCAGCTGGGGAAGGGCAGGGTGGGATGAGGCAAATGAGAGGGCCCAGTTGTGCTGCTGCTGAGGCTCTCACTGCCTCATAGCCCCCATGCCCCACACGCCCCTGCCCTTCCGCCTCCTGCTGCAGCCTCTCTTTCACACTCTGTCCTTCTGCCAACCACAGCCCCTGCCCTTGTGCCTCGTGTCGCAGTTTCTGCCCTTGTGCTGCCTGCTTCAACCGCTTCTGCAGCTTCAGAGGCAGCTTCAGCTGCAGCAGCGGCTCTTCTCCCACCTCTTCCTGCTGCTGCTCCAGTCCCTGCTGCTGGAGCTGCAACTGCTCTCCCCCAGCAGCACTACACGAATCAACAGCACCACCACCAGCATTTCCTGAGTCAGCAGCAGCAGAAGCAGCAGGTGGTTGCTTGCAGCTCTCAGCCGATTCCAAGGCAACAGCTTTTGCTTGCTGCCTTCGCGTGAGCGCAGAGGAACAGCTGCCCCCCTCAGGCTGTGAATGCTGAGCGCCTGGTGAATCCTTGAGGGCCATTTGGGGCGATTTCTGTGGCGAATTTCCTGGCAATTTTTGGCCCCACCCAAACGTTCCTGTCGACTTCTGGGGTGAATTTTGAGAGGGATTTCGGGGAGAGTTGCGCCCCCACTCAGACGTCCCTGGTGGGCTGGCGAGTCTGCACGGACGTGTGAGTTGCGAGGGACCCTGGGGCTCTTGGGAGGGAGCCGGGGCACCGGCTTTGCTTGAGCCTTCTGTCCCTCCCGTGCTGTTGCTGCTGCCGCTCCTCCAACTGCTGCCACTGCTACTGCTACGCCCTGCGATTTCTGCAGCCCCTGCAATTCCTGTGGGTCATCGGATTCAAGTGCTTCTTGCAGCTGCAGATCGAGATCGCTAGAAGAGCCGAACGCTTGCTGGTTGTGACTCGAGTCATAGGCACGCTGCAGCGTCGTGAGCGACCGGCTCCTCCTGTGCGACCGAACGATTGTGGGCGGTGAGAGCCCCAGCGTTCCTCTTCCTCCTCCTGCTCCCCCGCGTCCACTGTCCATGCGCTGCCTATACTGCGTGGTTAAAGGGGACGTGTGCGTGGGGTTGAGCGCCTGGGATGCCCTTCTGCTGCTGCTACTGCTGCCGTGACTGCTAATGCTCATGCTGTCGCTGCACCCCACGCTGCTGCTGCTGATATCGCCGCTGCTGCCCCCAGGTATGTACACGCTCCTGCTGCTGCTGCACACGCTGCTGCTGCAGGCGCTGCTGCTGCTGCCAGGATTGTAAACGCTGCTGCGATGCTTCTGACGGGACAGCGGAGCAGGGTACACGGGAGTAGCGTGCACGGGGATTCCATATGCATCTGGCTTTGGAGATGGAGAGGGCGGTGTGTGTGGAGTGCTGAAAGGAGGCAGCATAGGACGAGACAGCAGCAGCATCATATGGGCTGTGATGTGGGGAGTCGTGCCGAGGTCGCTCAGTGTTGTCAGAGAGAGCGCGTTTGAAGCGAGTCAACACGTCCGTGTTGCCGTGAAGACTTGGGCTGCTGCTCGGATAGAGGGCGTCCTCAGAAAGAGGCAGGGGACGCTCGGTGTTGTCAGAGAGAGCACGCTTGAAGCGAGCGAAAACGTCCGTGCTGCTGTCGGGATGATCGGAAAGAGGCATGGTGCTGTCAGTGTAAAACTCGTCGTCATGGTGGAGACCGTTGGATGAGTACGGGAGGCCGAATTGTGTCTCTCCTGCATCAGCGTGAGGATCGTCAAGGTCATCAACAAATTCAGCACCAGCATCAGCATCAGCATCAGCACCAACAGCAGCAGTCGGAGAGCGAAACGAGCCCCCGAAAGCAGACCCAGCAGAATCCAGCTCACTCAGAGAAGAGGAATCCAGGGAAGGGCAATCTGGCCTGCTGGTGCTTCTTCACCCGCACTCTGCAGGCTGCTCTTGCTCTGCATGTGGCTCTGGCTCTGGCTCTGGCTCTGGCTCTGGCTCTGGCTCTGGCTCTCGCTCTGGCTCTGGCTCTGGCTCTGGCTCTGGCTCTGGCTCTGGCTCTGGCTCCG